CCCGCACTCCCCACCCCACCAGCCCTATTGTCCGCAGCCAGAGCTCAGGGGTCGTGACCTAGGCGAAGGCGACACTGCGCCTGGAGCCCAGAGTAGCCCTTGCTCAGCTTGGCCCTATTTCCCCACTTCTCCGTCCTGAGACCCCTGCCCTAGGGCGGTCCAGAGAAAAGGAGCTGCCCCCTCCCGCCATCCCCAACTGATTTCCCAAGCCCCCAGGGGCTGGGGGAGAGAGGCTAGGGTCTGGCTAGTGGTTTGGCTCTGTGTCAGGGTATCTGCATCCGCATCACACGGCCACCAAATTCAAATATACTTTCCTCTCCCAGTCCCTATACTTGGACTGGGAAAAGAGGGAGTCCAAAACAGGGAAGTGAGCCGAGATAACACTGCCTTTGCTTCACCCTTACCCCTGGGTCAGGAGGAGCAGAGCCCCGAGCTACAGATGAGAGGGTCTGGCCAGTGTTGAAGGGTTCACAATGAACCCTTCCTTTTACTGTAACACTCTCCCTTCCCGATCCTTTCCCGCCTGCCTTCCTTCGGATTCTTTCTTGGGGCTAATCGGGTCTCGGAAGGGAGCTGAGGTCTTTCCCCACAGCTTGCGTGGATGTGTGTTTCCCTAGGTCCTGTAGAGCTGACACCAAAGAGAGTAGGATAGGATAGGGGCTGCCCCACCTGTGAAACAGAGCGGAGCGAGAGCTGACCCCGGCCTTGGGAAGCCTATAGTCAAATCTCCTTCCCTTTGGCCTTAGTTTCTGCCTGCTCCACTCCCTGCCGGGCAGGTTTTAAGGTGTGCAAAGCTTCAGAAGTCTCTAGTTCAAATAGTGCATCCCATCTGTTTAATTCTCAAGAGGCACACCCCAAAACTGCTACACACCACAGGGGGAAAAAGATTAAAATGGGGTTAGAGATTCTGGATGTAGAAAAAGCAGTCTGAGAAGGGCAGGCGGTTCTATGAGGGAGCTTGGTCAGAGGCAAAGACAATTTTTTCCCACCTAAATTCTCCAAATGTTTATTTTGGGCTTCTGCCCATCCAGATAAATCAAGTTAACAGATTAGAAGGTTCATAAAATTGTATTCTTAGGTAATGACATCCAGAGAGGCAATAAATATTCCATCTGCTTTGGTGGCCACTGGAGTTAGGGGATCTTCCATCTCTTTTACCAAGCCTAGGAGAGGAGGCATTTTAATTTGAATTAGCTGCCCAAAGGTGAGGTTCCAGATCAAAGCTCAGGAAAGCTTGGAGAAGTAGCTTTGTGAATACAGAACCCGACAAAAAGCCTTGAAAGAACTGAAGTGCTTAGCTACCTCTCCTTGCCACGGGTGCCCTCTTAAGGGTCCTTTCTGGGTTAGTCCTGAATCCCGGGAAAACAGAGAACCCCTCCAGAGCAGAGGTCACTGTAGCCCACACTTTGGCAAACCTTTAACACATGGCTTGTGCGTGCACTGGTTCTCTCTCTCTCTCTCTCTCTTTCTCTCTCTTTCAATATACAATTCTACAGAAGAAAACTGAGACATTCAGAACTGTAGGAAACTTCATACAAACTACAAGAGATCCTCAGAGAACAAAGTAGCCCATGCCTTCCCTGCTAATCTTACTTTCTCTAGGTTATCTCCATTTTTGAACTGTTTTCTCACAATCTGCCCCCAATGTGTGGACTCCCATTTTTCCCCAAGCAGATTCTCTCCATCCACATTTGATTTCCTACCTTCCCTCTCAAACAACTGTAATCAAAACAAAAATTTAGTGGAATATCGAATTTAGATTTATTCTCCTTACCCCAGGGAAAATCGAGCGCTAGCTACTTACACAGCAAAGGGATTTGGGACTTGTGGGGATCCCGGATGCTTGAAAAGAAGGCCCTTGGAAGATTTGTGCCCCCAGTTCACAGGTCTTCATTTTACTTGGCCATCGAAGAGGATACAATGCTGGACTAGCAGGCATTCACGCTCTTTCCTCTCTGGGCAAGAAATCCCCAGTCCTACAAAGGCTGTGACATCCTATCTGGAGGCTAGGTACTGAGCGAGGACTGGGCTTAGGAGGGTGGGGATGAGAGTGGGGGAGAGGTCAGAGGCTCTGATGAATATAAAGGCAATGAGAGAGAAAATGTTGTGTCCTTCTTGTGAACCTGGGCTAGTACCCGCCCCCACCCCCAGCCTTTCCCTAACACTCTACCCAACTCCAATGAAAACCTTGCCCTCCACTGCCCAGTGAGGTCAGGAAGCATCAGGAGCATTGAGACTAGGGTTGCTAGAGCTTGGAGTCCAGACCCAGGTTAGCCCATGCTCCCCTCCTGCCCAGCTAGGTGACAGGCTTTCTGGGTGGCCAGGACCCAGGCAAAGGAAAACTTTGGAGGAAGAAGAGGGACATTTCTGGAGGTCAGAGGCCCAACTCTTCAAAAACCCAAGTGCAAAATATTTTAATTTTGCTACATTTGTCAAGAATGCACGGATTTGGGATCCTTTCCGGATCAAGAGATAGAGATAATGACATTGTGTGCCACAAGAATTAAAAAACAAAAAACAAAACAAAAAAAAAAACAGAAACTCTCAAAGAAAGGGAAACAGATGTCCCAGACTTCATAAGCTGCTTTCCCTGTGTTCAGGAGTGTCCCTCCAGAAAGCAAAGCACCAGGAGAAACTTTAGAAGCAACATGCAGAGGTAGTTCTCTCCCAAACTCGCCAAAGCTCAACGCCAGGCAAGAAACTGCGGCTCTGAAGGTGACCCCGCTCCTTTCCATCTCACCTTCTTTCCACAGCAAAAGACACCTGGCCTACCTGGCAGACCTGCGGCTCTCCCACAGTTAGCATCCCTCTCAGCCCTAGGATGGTACTAGCCTCTAGATGATTGGGGCTACAGTCAGATCAGGTCACTAGTTTGCTTGATTACATAAAATAACTCCAGATAATTGTTGGCTCTGCTTCCTCACATTGCAGACAGCATGTTTTGTTGTCTCTAGAGCACCACTGAGGGAGGACTTCAAGGACTAAGCAGAACTCCCAACACATAGCCACGCGCCAGAGAACAGCACAGCCTCTTCTCCCAGGATCAGTCAGCTAGCGGTTCAAGAGAAAAGAAATTTAAAACACATCCAGGAGATTTTCACAACTTGTCTTCTCTGTCTGTTGTTGCCTCTCACTCCAGGATTCAGAGTAGAGAAAGGAGATTCAGTTAGCCTCTCCAGGCTGGTTCCCATTCCTAAGTGCCCTCCATCCCAAAGTTTAGATAAATTGCCTAAGAGAAAGCTCCTAACTGCTTCCCTCACCTCTTCCCCCCCCCCTTAAAAAAAAGGGAAGAAGAAGAAGTAAGAAAGAAAAATGAGGAGGCTAAACTTAAGGCCTGGTCTCCAGGACCGGATAGGTTCACCTGGGGTCCTTTGGGTTGCGTTAGTCCTTTGGATAATTCCAGATAGTTTTCCTGGTAGTATACCTCCCCATACACGAGAAAACTCTATTATCCACAACCTCAAAGCCTGTTCAGATGCCTCCATTCTGCCAGGATATGGAAAATTATAGGGAGAGAGTAGTTCTTGAATCTCTAACACCTGGCAGATCAGAATCAGAAGTTCCAGAAAAACAGAAGAGCCCTTCCTTCCTTTGCTAGCTACCTCCAGGCATCAGCCTTTGAGGCCTATCCATGCAAGGGCCTTTGCAGGCCTCTGGGCCTCCACTTCAGCCTTTTCCCCAAGGCTAAACAAACAGACATGCTATCCAGACAGGTCACTTTCAGAACCAGCGGCTCTAAACCCTTCACCCCTTTAGAAGAATGTAACTGAAGAAGGGGAATCACCCTCAAAGTCTTACCCCAAAAAGTCTTGAAAGAGGAAAACTTTTTCCCCTCCCTTTCCCTAAACTTGCCTTCTAGTCTGCAGGTTTGGCAGGTTTGAAGGACAAGGAGGGTGGGGAATAAAAAAGGAAGTCAAAGAGATGGAGCCGGACCTGACCAAGGGAAAGAGAGGATGCCCACCCCATGCTCAGCTCCACGCTAAGGACCCAAGGCCTGGTCTTTCTGAGAAGTCGGAGAGAAGAAGCAGTGGGACCCTCCACAGTCTGCCTTATCCCTTACCCCAGACTGGTTTTTCAATAGGCCTGAACACCTGAGGTCAAATGTTAAGGTTTGTGTATTTGTTCTGAGTGAATTTAGAGACTGGAGAAGGTGAGATGTCACCAGGCCAGAGGAGGGGGATTAAAAAGAAGCCATCAGACATTGACGTAAAACTAATTCACAGCCACTGGTTTATTATTGATCATGGGGTATTTCACATCAACACTAAAATTCTTTATTGCAAGTTTTACAATAATCAAGTGAATTCAGTCCAAAAACACAATAACCGCGATGGGGTAGGGAGCATCTACCTACAGACTGTCTCTCTGAACCCAAAGTTCATTTTTATTTTCTTTTGGCTTCTCAAACTGAACAGTTCCCAGAGGCTCTCCAGATGCATTTAGCTTTGTCTGCTGTCCTCCCCCCTCCTCCCACCCCCCCCCACGAGAATACAAAAGAACTTCATAGCTTTGTTCTCCTTAAAATGACTTCCCCCTCACTAACCTCCCCTGGTGCATTTCCAATGCAAAAGGCCTAGGGAAAGAGGGGGAAGGAGGAGGAGAAAAGATGAGAATCCACTTAAAATCTCCCTTTCCTTTTTCTTTTTCTCGTTTCCCCTGAAACTCACCCAAACCAGACCATCGCACCTTGCAATATATAATTTTTTGCAGCTTTTTTCTTAAAAAATAAATACCCCCCCATGGCCTTAAAAAACAAAAACAAAACCCAGCAGGTACCATGCTAAGATAACACCACATGCTTAAAGGGGTCCTTAACAGTGAAGGGAGAAGGGCAAGGGGCTTGCTTATCTGTTTTGTCTGTTTGGAATTGACAAGGAGGCAGGAGGAAGAGAAGAAAGAACCAATATATATATATATATATTAAATTCTATAAATAAGAGTCAATTTGTGTGTGAGGGGGTCTCGGAGCACAGGGTGGGGGCAGGGGTGTAAGTTATGTTTTATAACCTGGTAATGTCCTCTGCCCGTTGCTGCTCCGGCGTGGCGCTCTGGGAGTGGTCTTCAGAAGTACCAGGGGTGGCTGCCGGGAGGGTGCTGGGCGCAGCGCCTGCCGGGGGCGCTGACCTCACTTTGGTGTTGGGGAGTCGGTGGTCCTTCTTCCATTTCATGCGACGGTTTTGGAACCAGATTTTAATCTGCCTCTCAGAGAGGCACAGCGAATGGGCGATCTCGATCCTTCTCCTTCGGGTCAGGTAGCGGTTGTAATGAAACTCTTTCTCTAATTCCAGGACCTGCTGCCGGGTGTAAGCTGTCCTCGAGCGCTTGGGCTCCCCTCCGTTATAATTGGGGTTCACTGGGGGATGGGAAGCAAATAGTGGGGTTCAGAGGCATCAAGCTCCCCACCCCCACCCTCACCCCATCCTCAGCTTTGAGGAACAGGAGGGAGTGGCGGAAATAAAGTCATCAAGCTAAATGGGTTATAAAGAAGTTGAAGGAAGCTGGAGACTTTGTAGTGTAATAAGAGGGGAATCCTCATTGTAACGACACTGAATTATTTATGCGCCCTTAGAAAGCGAGCATAGTTTTCACACATACATAACAGATCGTAGCACATGGCTCGGACTGCCCAGAGTAGCTAAGCCATAAAATTTATGGGGGATGTAATTACCCATTCTCGCTCGTAAATCCAGTTCAATTGTGCTAACCCAGAGTCGCTCCTGGAGAGGGGGGGGGGGAAGGAGAGAAAGGAGGACGGGGCCAGAGGGGGCCAGGGAGGGTGGGGAGCGCCAGGAAGAGGGGAGGGGGGCAAAAAGCAAAGTTGCCTACCCGTGCTAACGTGAATTTTTTTCATCCAAGGGTAGACTATGGGCTGCTTGCTGGCGACGCTGGAGGGATGGTCGGGGGTTGGCTGGCTGCAGGCTGGCGGGGCTGGGGACGGGGAGGCAGAGGCGCCTGCGAGAGGCGCCGGCTCGCAGAGCTGCTGCTGCGATTTCTCTGGGTGGTGGTGGCCCGCTTGGGCCGGCCCGTGGGCTCGCGAATTGCCGGGCCCCTGGAGACTGGTGCAGCTATACTGACGCTCTGGGTAGCTAGGGCGCGGAGGCGGTGGTGGGTACAGCTCCTGGTGGTGATGCTGGAATCCCGATTCCCTGGTCCGGCCGTAATATTCCGGACTGTGTTCAGGGATGTAGCTATTTTGCGAATATTCTTCGCATGGAGGAAATTTCGGATCGATGTAGTTAGAGTCCATCAAATACGAGCTCATGATCATTAATTTCTGGAGTGGAAAATAATTTTTCTCGCTTTGTCGTTTTTCTGCTCCATAAAGCCCTCCTACTAGCTAGCGACCCTGTAAAGTTACTTTCACCATGTGACTCCGCCGGCCAATCACACCGAGCAACCCAGTCCCCGGATAAGGAACCGAATCGCTTTATTCAAAATGTATCCAATTTTTTGTGTGTGTGGTGCTGCTGCTGCTGCTGGGGTGGGGGTGGGGGTGGGGGATGGTTGGCAGAAGCTGGGGTGCTCACCAGTGCACACCCCGCCAGACTGACAATCCTCCCCTGCAATAAGAGATGGGAGGCTCCCAGCTCGGCTCCCATGCCTGGGCTTTGAGGGCTGTCCAGAGGTTGTGATTCAGCCCCGACCCAGGGTCTCTTCTTCGGCCTCCAGTGCGCCCCGTGGGCCTCGGCTCCAGGGCCTTTCCAGTGGTCTCCATTATGGCAATAGTTTTGCAGTCTGTGTAGGTCACAGGGCAGCGCCCCTCTTTCGCAGGAAGAGGAAGTTTAATGAAGGTTTCAGAGGAGGTTGCTTAGGGAGGGGCCCAGGCTGAGGTTAGAAGGCTGGAGAGCCTGAGGTACCTCACGCCATCCATGGAACCTAAAGTCCAGCTCTCCTCCCCAATACACACTCACCCAGCCCTCTCTTGGCCAAGGGACCTTCGAGACAGGGTCCCAGCAGTACTAGGCAGGTTGAGGCTGCGAGATGCAAATGATCCTGACGTCATTTCTGGAGGTCTAGGGCTTGAGCCCCCGCTGAAGAGAGACAGGAAGTGGTTGGCAAAAGCAGATTTCAGAAACTTTGACCTCCCTGCTACCCACTGTCCTTCCCGGCCCAGGTCCCAGAGCAGAGGATATCTCCTACTGGTAGCTGGTAGCTCATGTGTGACTCCGGTTCCCTGGCTTTCTCACAGCACCTCCCAGACTGGCTCGGAACAGCCCTGGTAAAAAAAAAAAAATTAAAAAGAAAGAGAGAGAGACAGAGAGAGAGAGAGAGAGAGAGAGAGTGACAGAGAGAGAGAGAGAGATCTCTTCCAGCAGTCACTGTTCTGAAGCAGGGCCCAACTAAAGCCCTGAGAGTTTCCCCCTCATTCCTTACTCTCAAGGGAGGCCTGTGTGGGTAGAGCCTGCTTGCTTCCAGTCAGGGACTATAGCCCTGTAACACATGTGTTTACATGTAAACACATATTCCCCAGGGCCAGCTCCAGGCTGCCTTCCAAAAAGAAGAGTTGAAGTCCCTGAGCTTCTGCGGCAGGGCAGGGTTCTCACCCTGACCCTCCCTGTCACCCACCCACAGAATACCCCCAGGGGAGGTGGCAGAGCCAGAGGAGAGGAGAGAGGACACTAGGAAGGGCTCTTCTTCCAGCCCCTGGTTCCTCAGCTAGGAGTGGCCTCATCATCGGACTCCAATTAACTGATCTTCTAGAACTCAGAATTGGTGGGGGGCAGCAGAGGGGAAGCCCAGGGAGGGAGCCAGGTCCCCGTGTTGTGCTTGATAACAATTATAGTTTAAAATCATAGCTTGCCGGGGCTCGGCTATATTTTACTTGATAACAATAAAAGTGACACATAAAGTTAACTGTTTATGTTTTATTTATTAGACTAAATCTGCCAGCGGTGGTAGGAGCGCTTGCCTCGACGCTCCAGCTTTTATAGGGCTGTAAAACGTCATAAATCAGTCTCGCAGAATCGCCTGCACTCTTTGTGTCGGAGGCACAGAGCTGGCGGCCGCTGGCTGCCTGCTCCCTCCTTTCTACAAAAAGTCGTAATGTGATTTTTTCCCCTCTGATTTTATTATTATGATCGCAGCCGTGATTAGTCAATCTACCTTTAATTCGCCGCCCGTGCTGCCTCCTCCCAGCCCAGCCTGGTTGACACTTGAATAAGTACCTTTTAAAACAGCGTAACAACTATTTGAGGGTTTAATTAGAACATCTGCAATTAAGGGAATGAGGAGGGGGAAGAGAAAAAAATAATAAAGCCCCATGAGAGAGATACTGAAAAGAGAATCCCAACGTTCTTTTTCATCACCTTTGGGATATGTGAGAGGGTCCCCACTTCCAAATTAGGGTTCACTTTGAGGGCTGGAATGGGAAGGAGCTACAAGCAAAGCCCAAAGAGACAGATTGGGCCTGGGCCCTTGGCTGCCTTCCAGGTTCCAATGCTTAGGGCCTCAGTCCCAGCCGAGACTGCTAGGGCTTGGTTCCCAGGACTTGGTGCTTCTAAGTCCTAGGTACCTTGTTCCCTAGCACACCCCCCTCCCCCCAGTAGCTGGGTGAGGGAAAGGGAACTCCCTAGAGGTGAGTCATCTCTCTCTGGAGACTCCCTAGCTCCCAAAGCTTCTGAAGAAGCCTTGCTTACTTGGACCTGAACCTGGGTATGTGGACAGGCTGTGTGCTTGGAAGAGGAACTCAAGGCCGTGAGTGCCAGAAAGCCGCCCCTGTGGTTGTTGGTGGTCGGGAGTGGTGTGAAAATTTTAACTTTCTTTTATACTATCTGTCTCTCTGTCTCTGTCTCTCTCTCTGTCTCTCTCTCTTGTTGCTGGTTGTGGGGGGTGGGGTGTTGAACTACACGTAGCTGGAAGTTGGTAAAGGGAAGAGCAGCAGTCCCAATTGTCCCATCAGGGAATCCAAAGCCCCAGAGAGCAGGGGTGGGGTGGGAAGGGTGAGGGAAAGTAAAGAGCTTCTTCAGCCTCCACCCTTTCTAGGTCTGCACCTGTCTTGCTGCCTCACTCTGCCCCACTCTCTTACACAGGTGAGGGGTCTGCTTGCTTCCCGGTTTCCCAGCCCCACCCCAACCCCTCTTTTCCGTGTGTCTGACCCTCTTGAATTCACTAAGGCCTCCTTCCCAAGGCATTTCCCAGCATGGCAATGCCCCTGCGTTCCTCAGACTCCTCAGTTCCTAGAGATGAGTACAAGAGACTCTCCTTGAGCCGGTCTAAACGAGCAGAGGCCTCAAACTTAATGCCAAGTTTGTTTTTGGTTCTTATGGTTAACAAATACATATCTATACATGCTATTAATATTTGTTAAAATATCAAATATCTTTTATAGAGTCATTAATAAATGGAGTTCCCATTCCGGGTTTGCTCAGCTAGTTCAGCATGAATAAACAGAAATTAAAGTCTAGGAAATACCCCTAAATGTGTCCACTCTCATCTGCATAACTTACAAAAAATAATAAATAAAACCAAACAACAAGCAAAACCTTTCTGGGTGCTCCTGTAGTGTAGGAAAAGGGAGTTGACTGCCAGATGGGTACATACACCCATACAACATGTTTACCTGAACATGGTTACAAACAGGACATCTTTTCCTGTAGCAGGAGCTGAAGTGCTGTGGGAGAGGTACTAAAGAGGCACTCCCCAGTGATGAATTTCTGTATTTGGGCTTGTCTTATTTTGTACCTTCCTTTCTTGCCTCGTGCCTCCCAAAGGCTCTGCCCTCTGCTTTTGCTCGGTCCCAGTTGGTTCTTTATGCTTTCTGACCATCTTTGCCAGCATCCAATGCTCTCTGCACGCTGCCCCAGACCCCATCTCCTTTCTAAATCTCAAGCCGGTTTCTCTTTCGGAAATACGTTTCAGTACAAAGCGCTTCCCTTCTGACACCACTGAAGAAAAATATGTGTCCATTGTTGTGAGAGGCCTTATTGTGCCTGGATTACCATACTGACCGTTGGCTAACCCATATTCCTCCCCTCCCCAGTAACAAGATGCTGGCTGAGATACCCTAGTGGCTCCACAGATTCTGTGCTGCAGTAAAAATTCCCACCTCATACTCCCTGGATTTTCTGAGGGACAAAAATAAATTAATTAAATGAATTAATGAGAGAAACAATTCAGGATTCAACTGTAAAGAGAAGGAAAATGAGGGTCACTCTTTCCCACTCTGAAATACAGGTTGCTTGCAGTTGTTTTTAATGTATGTGCTTTGTTATTGCTTTAGGGATTAAAAATTACAGCATGTGTCTTTTCTCTTTCTCACATAAATTGACTTCTAGATGGCATGCAATCAGACAATTCATTTCATTTTAATTTTTTCAACCCCCCCACAATCAGGGCAACTTGAAAACCCCAAACTAAAGCAAGATTTCATACTATTCTTCCCTTTGTGTATCTCTGAGTGTGTGCATGTGTATTTGTATGTTTTTTCCTTTCCTAACGCCACCAGGCAGGACTAATGTATGCAAAAGAATATGCAAATGCTTAATTGATTTTTTCCTTAAATCTCTTGTCAGTAAAACTAATAAATTGGTCTAAAATGATTTTAATAACCTGAACATGTCACTAGAAAATATTCAACCTTTCCCCCCCTCCTGGAATCATGGGGGGTGGGAGAATCGTAAGATGTTAATTTCCCTCCTTTAAAATATTAAAGATGAATTTCTCTTGTTTGTTTGGAGACCACAGGCATGGTGCTCTTGTGGATCTCTCCGTCTTGCCTTCTTTGGAATTCAATTTTCCTCAAATCTCCTTTAAAGTGGCTTTTTAAAAAGTGGCCGCATTTTAATATTGGTTAGACAGAGTGACCTGCATTTCACCTCTGGTGTTTGACTTGTCCCAATAGGTCACTGCCATGGGGTTATTGATGGGGAAACTCCATTGAAATTTGTCTCTTCGCAAATGGCCTTTAGATCTTCCAGCGAGTTCAATAACTAGTTATAATGTGGAAGGGAAAATGAAGGCCCTGGGCTAACGAATTTGATGCTTCATTTTTATGCTGGAGAAATTCTTAGTTAGAGGTTGAATTTCCCCACCCTCTGTTCATCCCAGCTTGGGTGAACCCCCACTCCCTTTCAAAGCTGCTGGATTATGTCTCCCATTAAGATTTGTGTTGAGGTATCCCTTTCTTTCTGATGCAAACCTGACCTGTAAATACGGTTGTAAACCCTGACATAAGGATGTAGGAACTTTGCTTTGTTGGAGGTTGGAAACCTGAACTTTGTTGTTAAGAGAACTTTCAAAGGAAACTAAGTATGTCTTGAGAAGATCTAGAGATTAGGGCTCCGTGACTCCTAAAGTTGAGGAAACCCGAAACTCTTTTGGGGGTGTTTCAAGATATTCTGATATGTTTTTGGCCTCAGAGCTTGGAGCCATATTGAGATTA